TGTAACATATAAAACAAGATGCATTTATTTCCAGTTTTCAAGTTTTTAACACAATATGATGCTAATTTTTATCAAGTGTTTTCTCCAGATATATTGAGATAAACTTTAAACTTTATTTCCATACTGTGCTGGATCTTAAATGATTATGAAAACGAATCAAACGTAACTCTTGGGATATTACTGAATACTTGTAATACCTAAAATACTCAGAATACTTAAAATATCACTAGATTTAACTTACTACTGTTTCAATTAGGATTTTTTTAATCTACATTCATTAATTTTCCTTTAGTATACAATGTTTTTTGGGTTTTTATATCAGTTGTACAAGTCTCATAAAAGGGGTTGTACTATCTAATAAAAATTGCCCTTTTGCCTATCTTCTGGAAAATTGTGAGACTAGTTTTATTTTTTCCTTTATTGTATTTGAAAAACTAAGTTAGTGAAATACATTGTCATGGGTATTTCTTTGGATTTTTTTCTTATTTATATATTCAATTTCTTTAATACCCAGAACACTACAGATTTTACAAGTTTCCTATTGTTAAAATCTTTTTGGTGAATTTGTTTATCTAGAAATTTGTTATTTTCAAGTTGAAAACTTATTTACATAAAGATTTTTTTCACTGAAAATATATAACACTGATGAAAGAAACTGTAAAACTCTTAGAAGCAAAATAGGCAAGATTTTTTTTTATTGACAGAGTTAGACAGTGAGAGAGAGAGACAGAGAGAAAGGTCTTCCTTCCGTCGGTTCACCCCATCAAATGGCCGCTATGGCTGGCGCTATGCCAATCCGAAGCCAAGAGCAGGTGCCTCCTGCTGGTCTCCCATGAGGGTGCAGAGGCCCAAGCACTTGGGCCATCCTCCACTGCCTTCCCAGGCCACAGCAAAGAGCTGGACTGGAAAAGGAGCAGCCAGGACTAGAACCCAGCACCCATATGGGGTGCTGGCGCTGCAGGCGGAGGATTAGCCAAGTGAGCCACAGCGTCAGCCCTGGCAATAAGGTTCTTGACATTGGTCTTAGCAAGTTTTTTTGGATATAACTTAAAAACACAGGAAACAAAAGCAAAAATAGAGAAACAAAATTACATCAAACTTAAAAAACAAACCTGCAGAGTAAAGGAAACTCTCAAAAAGAAAGTTGCAACCTACAGACAGGAAGAAAATATGATCCCCATTCCAGGGGAAGCAAGGTTAGAAGAAAAAATACAAATACAGTATACTCAACATTAAAATTAGTGTGGCCCAAGGGTATGCATAGGGATATTTCTTAGAGATTTAAAGACCAAGGTAAGTTATATCATGATTAAGATAAATTTACATAAAAAAAACGAAAATTTTTTAAAGAAAAAAATCACAGAAAGCAATTTACATTTATATAGGTCTTGTAGTGAGTAAAGTGGATGCATTTTTGGTTCTGGGTTTCTTTGTTTTGTTTCTGTAGGCAAGACTTGAGGTGGTATGCTATTCTTATCAACAAATTTCCCTCCCCCTGTTTCCCACTTTCCTTCCTTCCCCCCCCCTTTTTTTTGAGAGAACCCATTTTAAATTTACATTACAGTAAAAGGGCTTAGTACTTCACAAAATAAGAAATTTACTAAGTAAAAAGCAAGAGACCCTAGTTTAGTGGGAATATAGAAAATGGCTATAAACAATATTTGAATGGAGAAATGGCCATTTGACCCTATATATATATGTGATCTTAAAATAACCACAGATCATATAACTAGGGTAGCATAACATTCTTAACCGTTGGTTTGACAAATAAAAAAATAAAAAGAATATAATCTAAAAAAATGATTTTATTTGAAAAGAGAAGAAAGACAGCTAACCTGATCTGGTTTTGAAGAGAGATGGCTTTAGGTAGAAGGCCTTGCGAATCTGTTCTTTACTGTTGCTCTGCCATTTATATAGTTAAGATAGAGAATTAGACAATAGACCATATAGGTGGCATGTTGTGGAAACAGCAAAGATATCTTAGAGATATCACATTGAAATTAGCTGTTCTGCTTCTTAATTGATGAGTTAATTATTTTATGTTTTAAAGTACTTATCAAATAAAGATGATATAAATATTCAAAGTCTGCACATGATGGTTTGCTGTATGTTTACATCATTACTCAATTAAAGTGATGAACATATCCATAAATATCCATGCTGTACATTTATCCCCAGAACTTACTCATGGCTTGAAGGTTTTGCTCTTTGAATGATATCCCCTATTCCCTAGTAATGACTATTCTACTTTCTGCTACTATGGGTGTGAGTTTTAGATTCCACATATAAGTGAGATCATACAATATCCATGCCTGACATGTTTCACTTGGTAAAATATCTTCTATGTTCATACATCTGTGGAATATAAAATAACTTTCATAACTTTATATAAAAAACATGAATAACCCAAATGAAAAGAAATAGAAACAAACTGGAAAAAGTGTTATAGTAAAGAGGGCATAAAAGTGACCAATATACATAATTTTCATTACTCTAATGATTATAGAAATACATTTTAAAACAGCATGATAGTGTTCCTTAGTAGCATAATAACATCAAATAAATACCCTCTCACACAGAGATGAAAATAATAATTCTGGTAATGATGGCAGCAACTGGAATGCTCAGATATAACTAATGGACATGTCAATGGTACATGATTTTGGAAAATTGATTAGTATTTTCTATAAAGGCTAAAACTGTATTTTTCCTATCCCCTAGCAATCATATTCCCAGGAGGTATTCACTGAAAATGTTTCCCAAGCAACAAGTATAGAAATATTCATAAACACTTTATTCATAAACATAGTAAAAACCTAGCTAAAATAAAATGTCTATACAAAATAGTGAATTAGCTTAAGTATATTTATATGAAGGAATCTTGTACAAAATGAAAAGTAACAAACTACAATGATATGCAATCACGTCAGTGAATCTTACAGGCATATTTTTGAGTTAAAAAAGCCATTACAATATATATATATATAATATAATGTAATTAATATAAAATTAACAAACTAATCTATAGTAAGAGAATCATAAAAAATGAATTCTGAAAAAGTATTGACTGGTAAGACTTGAGGACCAGTTCTGGGCTGATGGTAGTTCCACATATATTGATCTAGTACACAGGGGTGGGAAATGTCCAGCACATAAACTATATGAAGCCCATGAAATCATTTGACTGGTCCTGCCAAGGCAACTGCAAGCACTACTTAAATTTCAGTAAATTTATAGCAGGCTAAGTTGATAATTTTGTATGGCTGGTGAATGATGTTATAAATATTCTAATGACTCTTGGCAGAAAAAAGATTCTCAACCTCTGGATAGGTTTAAGTTTAGGCCCATAAGTTGTACAGATCCCTACACGAACATTCTTTGACAGTTGTGTTACGATATAAACAATTCAAATCACCCCAGAGCATTCTTTGGGCAGCCCAAACTAGCCCAAACACATAAAAGTCTATGAAATAAATACTGTACCCCTCAATGGCATGAACTTGCTCTTTAGGCCACTATCATAAAATTGGGAGCAGCAAAAAGGCACATGCATGATTTCATAGTTCTGGAGCTCCGTGGAGCATCTATTCAACTATATGAATGCAAGTAGAGATTGGGGAGTGTCTTGAAGGGAGAGCTCTAAAAGAGGGAACATGGATAGAGTGCCTTGAGTTTGGGGATAGGTGGGTGGGTAGTCCCAGTCACCAGAATAAGATTTAGGAAATTTTAAGAAAGATATTTCAAAGTGTAAGACTTTGCATTATTTATAATCATACATTTAAATAAATCCATCAAACCCACTTTACTATATGGATTTTAAATCTGAGTTTTTAAAAGCATTAAAAATCTAATTGTTAAGTACTTGCTATGTAACAAGATAAAATAAGGAAAACACTAGTCAAGCATAAACCATTGACAAAATGTGCAAAAAATAGGTAGAATACTGAGATTTGTCTGAAAAACCACAAGGAAACAGTACAAGTTGAAAAGGGTTGGGCATTGCAAGATCATTAGTATAATCAACAAATAACTGAAGTTTGTGAATCTGAGATTAATTGTTTTCTAAAGCATTAGAGTTGACCACTGAGAATGCAATTTATATGTATTGGAATTCACCCATTTAAGGATGTCCATTCCTGTGCACCTTGAATTTCCTACCATGTTGATGCTTCTCTGAAACTGTCAGTTGCTTTCTCCCTTATCCCCATCCCCCTCTTCTTCTTCTTGTTCTTCCTCCTCCCCTCCTCCTCTTCTCCCTCCTCTTCCTCTCCTCCTCCTCATCTCCCCCCCTTCCTCTTCTTCTTCTTCTTCTCCCTCTTCCTCTCCTCCTCCTTTTCTCCTTCTCCTCCTCCTTCTTCTCTCTCTCTTTTCTCCCTCCCTCCCTCCCTCCCTCCTGCACTACTCTCGCTCTCTCTCGTGTGTGTGTGAGCATTGCATACACAGACACATCTACAGACAGCAGTATACTCAACTTTCAATAACATATTAATGGGAAGAACTCCATAGATGCAGTGTGCCCAAAGAGATTCCCCGCAGAATTGTAGGGAAATTTTCTCAAATTTTGCTCCTTTAAGCCCTTAAAATGTCACATATCTTTTTATTTTTTCCAGAATTTATATCCATTTGTGATATACAATAGAGTATAAATAAAAATCCTGTATGAAAAGAGTTAAGTAAGAATTGATGTTTGATGTAGTGGTTGTTGCTGTTTGGGACATCTGCATCCTACATCAGAGTGCCTGGTATAAATACCAGCTCCATTTCCAATCCAGCTTCACTTCCAATCCAGCTTCCTACCAAAATTCACCTTGGGTGACACCAGATAATGACTCAAGTACTTGGGTCCCTGCCACCAATCTGAGAAACCTGGATGGAGTTCCAGTTTCCAGGCTTCATCATGGCCCAGCTAGCTGTGGCTATTGTGGATGTTTGGGGAGTCACTCAAAAGAAGGAAGATTCTCTCTCTCTTTCTCTCTCTCTCTCCCTCTCTCTTCCTTTCTCTCCCTCTCTCTCCCTCTCTCTCCCTCTCTCTCTCTCTTTCAAATAAATGAAAACAAATAAATAAATTTTAAAAAGTTGATATCTGTTGATAATGAATCTACAGAGTTAACTGTTTGAAAAGGAAAAGAAACATCTTTTTCCATGTGATCTTGTCTATCAGATCTATTCTATAAAGGTTAAACAGGAAAGTAAATCCAACAAAGCCCTTTAAACAACTTTTTTAAACCTTAGGTATTCTGTAAGTTTTCCTGGTGATTTTTTTGTCATTCACATTATATGCTCTGAATTGGATATTTAAATACATTATGAATGTGATAATGCTAAAGTCAGAAACTTTTCTGGTGAAAGATTCTGTAGTTGAAAAACACAATCCTTTTTTCTTAGATTAGGTTGTATAGCTCTCATTTAAATCATTTTTTTTCCAAAAAGATACTTGAAACCTTTTCCCGAATCTGCTTAGTCCTCACTCCATATATGATAGGATTAAGGGCAGGAGGAACAACCACATATAGATTGGCCAGGAGAATGTGAACATATATTGGAACTTTCTCCCCAAACCGGTGGGTCATAAAGGAGAAAAAAGCTGGAGTGAAGAAGACAAGGATGACACAGATGTGTGATCCACACGTATTCAGTGCCTTGAGTCTGGCATCCCGGGAAGGAAGGCAGAAGACAGCTTGGAGTATTCTCACATAGGAAATGGCGATCAGAACCACATCAACAAGTGCCATTGAAATAAGAACTAATCCAAATATCATGTTGACCTTTATATTGGCACAGGCCAGCCGAGCAATTCCCATGTGCTCACAGTATGTGTGTGGGATTATATGGTGACCACAGAAGGGAAGCCTCAAGATGAGAAACACCAGAGGGATAACCAAGATGAAATTAACACCAAACACCACCACCAGGATGAAACTGATGGTTTTGTTAGTGAGAATCAGACTATACTGTAGAGGGTTGCAGATGGCAACATAGCGATCAAAGGACATGGCAACCAACACGACAGTCTCCATGGCAGTGAATATATGGATGAAGAACATCTGGGTGACACAGCTCCCAAAGCTAATCTCTCTTAAATTAAACCAGAATATTCCCAGCATCTTGGGAATGGTAGATGTAGACAGGCCCAGATCAATTGAGGCCAACATAGCCAAGAAGTAAAACATGGGCTGGTGAAGACTGTACTCAGTCTTGATCACAAACAAGATAGTGAAATTCCCCACAAGGGCAATCAAATATATAAAACAAAAAGGAAATCCAATCCAAATGTGCATCTCTTCAAGGCCTGGAATGCCCAGCAGAAGGAAAGAGGAGGGGTGAAACTTGGTGTGGTTTGAGAACACATCTTCTCTGTTCTTTTGTAATCTAAAAGAAAACAAACCATCAAATCACTGAAAAGCTCAAACAACATCAAATAAAAATACACTAAATTTTGAGGGGTAACCAGAAAATTATGAAAGAAATTGTATTACTTATTGAAATAAGGATTCGTTCAAATATCTGCCAAAGCTAATTCTGATAAAGCATAGAAAACAAATCAGACTAAATCTTCTGTTTCATAATACTGTATTTTTAGGATGAGATAGATAATTACAGAATAAACAAACACACATGCAGATAGACTCATATATTAAAAATATATATATGTATATAAATAATATGACATGAGGAAAATTCTCTGTGAAAAAGTGAGACTTGAGCAGATAAATGAAGACAATATGAGGATTTAGCTTTGATAATGGACATTAAATATATTTAAGACATAGAATGATGTTTCAATTAGCAATCTAGAAGGAATCTAGAAATGTTGAACATGAAATGAAAGTGATAGCAGTTGCTCTTTATAATAAAGCTATGGAAGAAGGGCTTTAGGGAATGTGGTAAACACAATCTTTTTGGGGTCAGCATGTTTGAGAGTAGGAAGGCAGAAGGAGGTCAAGCCCTTGCTGTCTGTTTCATTTTCTTCCCTGTGAGATGACTGGTGTGCTAGGTCAGAGTTAGAGGTGCTTCTGCTTGGGGTTTCTGGAGCTTCTCAGCTAATGACTTACATAGAATGGACAGATCAGGGAAGTGTATTTCCAAGTGTTTTCTCAAACTTTCCATAGACATTCATAGACATTTACTCTAAAAAGTATGAAGAGAAAAAGATTCAAACATTCTTTGATCTTTGCTTTTAGGAAACTGAAATTAAGAAGGAACAAATAGGAGACGTTGTCCCTATCAGTACCATTAAAGCTACACTTACCTATGCCTCTGCAACATAGTCTGAAGCTCCCTTCCTTGCAACTCCAGCATGATTTCAGGTGCTTTCGGTGTCACTGTTTCTTAGACACCCTGCCCTGCATTTTCAGTGCCTCCTTCTCAGATCCCAACCTTAAGCAGCATCACCTGTCTTACCCGCAACCTGTGGCTCCATGTAGGATCAGTCTAGGGTAGTATCTCCCCTTCTGACTTCATTCTGTTTGTCAGCTCTTCAAAGTAAAGTTTGTATTTATGTTGCAGCAGGCTTCCCACTCCCAGCTGGTGTCCACAGGACTGTTAATCCCTGAGCCCTAGAAGATGCCTTTTCCTGAGAGATAATCATTAAGTCTCCTGTGAGAGTATTTCTGCACCATGGGATCTCTGGCTACTACGTCCCATCATTGGTCTCCACTCTGATCACCCCCTGGACACTAATCACTGAGCTTCATTTTTGACTCAGCAGTATTAAACTTTTCAAAGATGTTGGCCTTGATTTATAATTAAAAAACAAGATAACATAGTTATAAACGATATAGCCTGGAAAAACAACAAGCATAAAAATAATGCGAATTCCATTGCTTGTAATATGGCACTAAATGATCTTTTTAGAATCTTGATGCTCATATAGCTAACGGCACCCTAAGTAAAAGAGTTCAACAAATAGTATGTAGAGAAAACAACACAAAGCAAAACCAACACTGTTCCTCAACAAAAGAGACAAGGGCTACAAACCATCTTTGATTGTCAAAAAGTCTGTTTCACTTCAATATATTATATTTCAGGTACTTTATTCATTAGCTCTGATCATAGAAATCATATGATACCTGGTTTTTGGGACTGGCTTATTTCACTCAGCATAATGGTTTCCAGTTGGGAGCATCTTTCTGCGAAAGACAGGATTTCATTTTTTTTTTTAAACTACTGGGTAGTACTCCATAGTGTATATATACCAGAATTTCTTTATCCATTCAAGAGTTGATGTACGTCTGGGTTGATTTCATATCTTAATTATTGTAAATTGTGCTGCAATGATCAAGGGGGGGGGTACAGATAACTCATATGTGGATTACTTTTGCTTTGGCTTAATTCCCAGGAGTGGGATTGCTAGATTTCTGAGGTATCTCCATACTGACTTCCATAGTGGCTGAACCAGTTTACATTCCCACCAACAGTGGATTAGGATACCTTTTCCCCCACATCCTCACCAGCATTTGTAGTTTACTAGTTTCTGTATGAGAACCATTCTAATTGAAGTGAGGTGAAACCTCTTTGTGGTTTTGATTTGCTTTCCCCTGATGGCTAGTGATCATGGGCCATGTTTTGAGATAACTGCACTGTAGTATGTCTTGAAATCAGGTATTGTGATGCCTCTGGCTTTGTTTTTGTTTACCTAGTCAACATCTCTTGTGTTTCCATATGAATTCTAGCATCATTTATTCGAGATCTGCAATGAATTTTGTTGGTATTTTGATTGGGATCACACTGAACCTGTACATTGCTTTTGGTAGTATGAATATGTTGATGATGTTGATTCTTCCTATCCTTGAATGGGGAAGGTTTTCCATTTTTAATGTCTTCTATGTCTTTCTTTAGTGTTTTGTAATTTTCACCACAGAGATCTTTGACACCCGTGGTTAAATTTATTCTTATGAGCCAGTGTCGTGGCTCACTAGGCTAATGCTCTGCCTATGGTGCCTGCACCCCGGGTTCTAGTCCCGGTTGGGGTGCCAGTTCTGTCTCAGTTGCTCCTCTTCCAGTCCAGCTCTCTGCTGTAGCCTGGGAAGGCAGTGAAGGATGGCCCAAGTGCATGGGCCCTGCACCTGCATGGGAGACCAGGAGGAACACCTGGCTCCTGGCTTCAGATCGGTGCAGTGCACCGGCCATGGTGGCCATTTTGGGGGTGAACCAACTGAAGGAAGACCTTTCTCTCTGTCTCTCTCTCTCACTGTCTAACTCTGCCTGTCAAAAAATATTTATCCTTATTTATTTGATTCCTTTTGGAGATATTGTGAATGGGACTGAGCTTAAGTGTTCTTTCTCAGCCATGACATTGTCTATGTATACAATGGCTATTGATTTTTCCATGTTGATTTTATATCCTGCCACTTGACCAAACTCTTTTATGAGTTCTGATGGTCTCTCATTGGAGTTTTTTGGATTCCCTATATAAAGGATCATGTCATCTGCAAAGAGGAATAGTTTGATTTTCTCCTTTCCAATTAGTATTTCTTTGATCTCTTTTTCTTGCTTTGGCTAAAATTTCTAGTACTATGTTAAATAGCAGTGGTGAGAGTGGCATCCTTGTGTGGTTCCAGATCTTAGGGGGAATACTTACAGTTTTTCCCGATGTAATAGGATGCTGGCTGTGGGCTTGTCATAAAATGCCTTGATTGTGTTGAGGAATGTTCCTTTTATACCCAATGTGCTTAACATTTTGATCATGAAAGGATGTTGTTTTTTATCAAATACTTTCTCTGCACTATTGAGATTATCATATGATTTTTGTTTTGCAGTTTGTTAATATGAGGTATCATAATACATTGGTTTGCAAATGTTGAACCATCCTGCATATCAGGGATAAATCCCACTTGGTCTTGGTGAATGATCATTCTGATGTGTTGTTGGATTTGTTTGGCTAATATTTTATTGAGGATTTTTAAATTTATGTTCATCAGGAATATTGATCTTAGTTCTCTTTCTCTGTTACATGTTTTTCTAGCACAGGAATTAAGGTAATGGAGGCTTCATAGAAGGAGTATGGGAGGTTTCCTTCCCTTTCAATTGTTTTGAATAGTTTAAGGAGAATTGGAATTAGTTCTTATTTAAATGGTAGAAATTAGCGGTGAAGCCATCTGGTCCTGGTCTCTTCTTTGTTGAGAGGGTCTTTATTACTGATTAAATGTTCATCTTAGTTATTTGTATGTATGGTTTTTCTGTGTCTTCATGGTATGTATATGTGTCTAGGTATCTGTATGTGTCTAGGAATCTGTCCATTTCTTCTAGGTTTCCAATTTCATTGACATACAGCTCCTTGTAGTAATTCCTGATGATTCTTTGTATTTCTGTGGTATCTGTTGTTACATTTCCATTTTCATCAAAGATTTTATTGATTGGGTCATCTCCCTTTTTTTGGTTAGTTGTGTAATAATTTTAATTATTTCTTTCCTTCTATTAATTTTGGGTTTAGTTTATTGTTTTTTTCCTAGGTCCTTGAGATGTATCGATAGCTCATTTATTTGGCACCTTTCCAATTTCTTCACATAGGCACCAATTGTATAAACATCCCTCTTAACATTGTTTTTGCTGTATCTGATAACTTTTGATATGATGTATTCTCATCTTCATTTGTTTCCAGAAATTTTTTGTTTTCTCTTTTGATTTCTTCTATGACCCATTGTTCATTCAGAAGCATGTTGTTCAGTCTCCTTGTTCTAGAGATTCCCGAGTTGTTAATTTCCAGCTTTAGCCCATTGTGGTCAGAGAAGGTACATGGTATTATTTTGAGTTTTTTGAATTTGCTGAGACTTGCTTTATGTCCTAGCATATGATCTATCTTAGAGAAAGTTCCATGCACTGGTAAGTAGAATGCATATTCTGCCACTGTGGGATGAAAGGTTCTATAGATATCCGCTAGGTCCATTTGGACTATAGTGTTGATTAACTCTGTTGTTTCATTGTTGATTTTCTGTCTAGTTAATCTGTCCATTGCTGAAATGTCTATTTGATCTGTCCACTGCTGAAAGTGGGGTATTGAAGTCCCCCACTAGTATCGTACTGGAACCTATGTCTACCTTTAGATCCATTAGCATTTCTTTTAAAAAGCCAGGCTCTCTGAAGTTGGGTGCGTATACATTTATTATAATTGCATCTTCCTGTTCCTTTTCTTTTAACAGTTTTTATGTTTAAGTCTATTTTGTTTGATATTAAGATGGCTACACCTGCCCTTTTTTGCTTTCTGTTAGCATATAATATCTTTTTCCATCCTTTCACTTTCAGTCTCTATATATCTTTGTGAATGAGATGTGTTTCTTGTCAGTAGCAAATAGATGAGCCTTGTTTTTTAATCCATTCAGCCAGTCAACCTTTTAACTGGAGATTTTAAGCTATTAACATTTAAGGTGACTATTGATAAGTAGCGACTTTTCCC